CCCCCCCATCCCAGCGACATTTACCTGATGGAGAAGGAACTGGCCGAGGAGCAGGAGAGGAACCAGCGGCAGCGGCCTCCCAAAATCGTGGAGCCTCCGGCATTCCAGGAGCCGCCTCCCAAGGTGGGCACAGAGCGGCCCCACTCATCCCCTTCCCAGCTCCCTCAGATATTCCCGGTTCTCCAGCCCCTTCTGACCTCCCTGAGCCATTCCCAGTTCCCCAACCCCTTCCCAACTCCCTTAGCCATTCCCAGATTTCCAGTCCCTTCCCAGCTCCCTCAGCCATTCCTGGTTCTCCAGCCCCTTCCCAGCTCCCTCGGCCATTCCCAGTTTTCCAGCCCCTTCCCAGTTCCCTCATCATTCCCGGTTCTCCAGTCCCTTCCCAGCTCCCTCAGCCATTCCCGGATTTCCAGCCCCTTCCCAGATCCCTCAGCCATTCCCAGATTTCCAGCCCCTTCCCAGCTCCCTCAGCCATTCCCGGATTTCCAGCCCCTTCCCAACTCCCTCAGATATTCCAGGTTCTCCAGCCCCTTCCCAACTCCCTTATTCCCAGTTCTCCAGCCCCTTCCCAGCTCCCTCAGATATTCCCTGTTCTCCAGCCCCTTCTGACCTCCCTCAGCCATTCCAGGTTTTCCAGCCCCTTCCCAGCTCCCTCAGCCATTCACGGATTTCCGGCCCCTTCCCAACTCCCTCAGCCATTCCCTGTTTTCCAGCCCCTTCCCAGCTCCCTCAGATATTCCAGGTTCTCCAGCCCCTTCCCAGCTCCCTCAGCCATTCCCGGTTTTCCAGCCCCTTCCCAGCTCCCTCAGCCATTCCCAGACCCAGCCCCTTCCCATCTCCCTTATTCCCAGTTTTCCAGCCCCTTCCCAGCTCCCTCAGCCATTCCTGGTTCTCCAACTCCTTCCCACTTCCCTCAACCATTCCCGCTTCTCCAGCCCCTTCCCAGCTCCCTCAGCCATTCCCAGTTCTCCAGCCCCTTCCCAGCTCCCTTATTCCCTGTTCTCCAGCCCATTCCCAGCTCCCTCAGCCATTCCCGGATTTCCCACCCCTTCCCAACTCCCTCTCCCACTCCCGCTTCTCCAGCCCCTTCCCAGCTCCCTCAGCCATTCCCGGTTCTCCAGTCCCTTCCCGCTTCCCTCATCATTCCCAGTTTTCCAGCCCCTTCCTAACTCCCTCAACCATTCCCAGATTTCCAGCCCCTTCCCAGCTCCCTCAGCCATTCCAGGTTCTCCAACCCCTTCCCAGGGTGGGTGGGACACCGAGGTGGGAACATTCCCGCTGGAATTGTCATCCTCCCGCTCTTCCCACAGCCCAGCCGGCCCATGTACAAGCCACCGTCCCAGAACAACCTCCTGGCTCCCAATCTGCTATTCCAGGTGAGATCCCGCCGGGATCCGGCCGAGGCGGGGTGGTGGGAAGCTCCTCCCGGAGCTGGAGAACAGGGATCGGGGGGTTTGGTGGATCCAAGGGGACCCTTCCTGGCGGGACACGGCCCATCCCGAGCCTTGACCATCCCATGGAGCTGGGAGAGGGGATCAGGGAATCACAGGGATGGTTCAGGTTGGAAAATCCCTCTGGGATCACAGAATCCAACCATTCCCAGCACTGCCAAGGCCACCCCGGATCCGTGTCCCCAAGGGTCACATCCACAGGGATCTGAAATCCCTCCGGGAATGGCGACTCCAGCCCTGCCCTGGGAAGTTCATTCCAGTGCCTGACAGCCCTTTCCATGTGGGAATTGTTCCCAGTATCCCACCTGCCCCTCCCCTGGCCCAGCTGGAGGCCGTTCCCTCTCCTCCTGTCCCTCGTTCCCTGGGAATTGGGGAACCCCCCCCCCGGCTCCCCCCTCCTGTCAGGGAGTTGTGGGGCAGGAAAAGCTCCCTCCTGATCCCTCTTTTCTCCGGGATGAGCCCTCCCAGCTCCTTCAGATATTCCAGGTTCTCCAGCCCCTTCCCAGCTCCCTCAACCATTCCCTGTTCTCCAGCCCCTTCCCAGTTCCCTCAAC